ATGATATATGTATTTGCACAGAACAATGGGTGTCAGCAGATCATGACCTTTCATATAATAGTTTACATGCCATGCTTTGTATGAAATAGATCATAATTGTATGACAGTGTGAATATGGGGGCTCCAAGGTGCTGCTTTGAGGTACAGAGTGCCACAGTGTGTAACTTTATGCGCAAGAGCAATCTCATTGTAAAGTTATATGCTTGTGTAGTGTTTTCAGCATCGGGGCTTAATACAAGAACAAAATTGCTCAAATTCAGGGTAGTGAAAGCAGAAGCTGCTTCTGTATTTAGGTGGCTGCTGCTGGTTTGTGAGAACCTTAGACAGAGAGTCACACATTTAAAGGGGTACCATAAACTTCATATTCTGACTGGAAACGTTTGACCTGCTAATGTCATGAGTAACAGTTATCATTTCTAGAACTGAAGGAGACTTGTGGAGATTCTGTTTGACAGGTACTTTGTCAGCATTTTGTGCCAAGTCCACTCATTGTGTTCCTGATAGACTCAGCAGCCCCTGTTTATATGGCATTCTGCCACACACACGGAGTGTGGGGGGGGAAGAAGAGAAACACTTATAAACAAGAGTCGTTGTAAAATCACAGAAACTGGCAGTGGCCTTGGGCAGGAGGCTCTGAAGCAGAGGATATGCTAGAACTGGAATTTATTTTTTTTTATTTTTGAAGTTGCCTAGATTTTCAGTTGACTGTGTCCTTGCCAGCAAACACTGATGACTTTATTGGATCCAACAAATTAAAGGGGTATCGATGCGCACTGAGGGATTTTAATTTTTGCTGATCATGTATCTTTCCCCAGCCGAGAGCAGCCCTGTGATTGTGCCTGGGAAGGTTTTTTACCCTTACCTGGTTCAAGAGTACAAAATAATAGTTATATGGGATGAGGCTGGCAGAGCTGTCCCAAGCCATCCCAGACCAGGAGGGCCCATGGCTGCTCTTGGTTTTACATGACAAATGTTTATGTACCCCAGGACCACACACCCTCTTTCACCCACAACAGCCTTTGGGCAAATGACGGGAAAGACAGGGCAGCATTTGTATCCGTCTTTGTAACAGGACTTGTTCTGCTTGTACAGATCTAAGCACATAGGTACACATTTGTTTATGACCTGAGTCCTCAGCGCCTCCAGGAGCAGTGCCCCAGACAGGGTAAAAGAGACCTACATTTCTTAGATGCCCTGGAAGAGAGACCTCACGCTGCACTGAGAGAGATGCAGCTTGCACTAGATTGAAGGAGTTAGGGTCTGTCCACACTGCAATTAGACACCTGCGGCTGGCCTGTGCCAGCTGACTGGTGCTTGGGCTGTGCAACTGTTTCCTTGCCGTGTAGACTTCCAGGCTTGGCTTACAGTCCGAGCTCTGGGACCCTATTTGGGCTGCAGCCCGAACCCAGAAGTGTACACTGCCATGAAACAGCCCCACAGCCTGAGCCCCGCGAGCCCAAGTCAGCTGTCAGGTCTAATGGCAGTGTAGACATACATCTCCTAGTGCTGACTGCAGAAGTCTAGTGGCCCCGGCATCTCCTCCTCTACTCACCCCATGGGGTGATCTGGTAAGCCCAGGCTCTGCTCAGACAGAATATTGGGCATATAACACCATAGAAGCCTTCTTAGGGGCCAGTAGGAGTGAGAGCTCAGGGGAAAGCCACATTAAGGGGATTGAGAAGGGCTAGAAGATTAAAGGTTAGCATAGTACTAACCTTTAATCACACTAGGGCTGGGGTAATGTATGGGGCTGTTAGACTCCAGGGCACCTGCAAAAGGAGTGGGTGGAACAGGGTCAGAGTGTGGCTGACGGCATCTCGTTGGTTTCTCGTTGCTAGGTAGATTTGTCGCCCCTCAGCCAGGAGAGTCCTTGTGCCATACAGGAACCCTCTGGAAGGAAGTCGGGTGTCTCCATGGTCACTGCTGACATTGGCCTCGTCAGCATGATCCGACAGGGGATCTTAGCACTGCAGCTGTTGCCTTCCAACTCCAGTGCAGGTTAGTTCCACCTCCTGGGCTCCAGGGAGGCTCGCCTGGAATTCTGTATCCCTCTAGCCCTCATGCCCAAAGAGTCATGTTAGGCCCTTCAGATGGGGGAAGGGCAAGGCTTCAGGGCAGCAGCTCTGCGGTGCAGCATTTCATGATCCCATTGTGGTGTGGTAACGCAGATAAAGCCAGCGATTGCATTGGGGGTGTAGGGTGGGGAGTCTGATCACAAATGAGGGACGGTGCTCTGAGATGGTGCCTTGTTACCTCCAGGTATCATCATAATCACAGATGGTGTGACCAGTGTCCCGGACGTGGCTGTGTGTGAGACTCTGCTCAACCAGCTGCGGAGTAGCACTGTGGCCTGCTCCTTTGTGCAGGTATGCCTGGGGCGGGGGCACTGCAGACTGCACCGTGTATGCCGGTGTGCTGGCCAGTCTGAGGCGGAGGGTGGGCGTGGGATGCTGCACCGTGTGTGTAGATATGCCAGTCTGGGGCAAGGGGTGGGGGTGGAGATGGCTAACCTCTGGTGGGGAGTGGGGACGGGGATGCCAATCCAGGGCAGGGGCTCTGGGCACCGTGCTGTGTGTGCTGGTATGTGCTCTCCCTTCTGGGGGTTTGATGCTCACTCACCCCTAGCAGGATGGAGTGGAGCTTACCTCTGCTTCTCTCTCTCCTCTCCCCTCCTTTGCTCTGTCTCATGTGGATCTCTCTCCCATGCCTTCTCAGGTGGGCGGAGTCTACTCATATGACTGCAGCTTTGGCCACGTCCCCAATGTGGAACTGATGAAATTTATTGCTATGGCAACTTTTGGTGCATACCTGTCTACCTGCCCTGAGCTGGATCCCTTAAGCCTCGACCTCAATGTATATCACAAGGCCTTCCTGCTGTATTCCTTCCTGCGCACCGGGGAGTCCCTGAACCCAGAGTATTACTGTGGTGAGGCGAGCATGTGTGTCCTGCTCCATCGGATGGGGGGGCCTGGAATTTCTTCATGTGGTGGGGCCTGGATACATCAATGTCCCCTTCGTACCCTTTCCTGATAGTTTCCAATAGCAGTGGGTGAGGGAGGCAGTGGTGAGAACCTTTTTCCAGCCCCTTCTACCTACTGCAGTGCACACAAGGCAAGGGAGTGGTCCTCTTTTCTCCAGCAGCCCCGAGAGCTCGGTCTGGGGAGGACAGCTTAACAAGCACACTGCTCAGTGGATTGGAGCATGTGGTCAGGGCCCGCAGAATTCTAGGCCTTCTCGAGGCTCTGAACACTACTGGATGCTGGAGCAGAATCTCTGTGGCTCCCTTCCTGGGGCATGCTGCTTTAGGGAGCATTAGCTGGGGAGTTGGGTGCTAACGTGCCTTTCTCACTACTGCTCTCAGCTTGCCTACCCAGCCCAAAGGGGAATGTTTGTGCAAGCCTGAGCACAATCCCCCCTGCCACGGGAGTACAGCGAGGGTGAGGAAACACTCACTGGCCCCTTTGCACATGGAGGCCCTCTGAACGCTGACCTGGTTGGCTGCGCTCTGCAGAGCACATCCAGACCATGTCTGCACATGGGAACTTGGCTTACAAGGTTATGGTCACCAGAGATGGCCACAATGCCAGCATCTGGGTGCTCCCACTGAGGATGCGGTGGGACACGACACTTTGTGACACTTTTATGTCAATTGAAAATTGGCCTTAAGGCTCAGAAGCATCAGCAGTTCTTGGAAAATGCCTGCTGTCTGTGGGGGTGGTTGAGATTTCCCATGCTGGTTCAGAGGGAGTCTGGCCTGAAGGACTGGGGGGAGGGGTTCAGGTGCTGTTTAAAAGCTGTTAGTTGTTAAACCTTGCAGTGAAGGCTGTCAGGCCCTACTAACTGGTCATTATACAGCACCCAGGGTGGGCATGAGACTCCCTAGGGACAGGGGAAAATGGATCCCTGCCTGGATTAGTGCAGCGGCCTTGCCATTCCTGTCTGGTTAAATGCATCACCCTGTAGTGCTGGTCCTGATTATCACGCCTGGCCCATCATGTGCTCAGGCTTGGCCCCTGCCCTGTTACAGATCTCCTCTGCACCAACAGGCCTCTCCTGTCCCCTTCCTGAGCGAGCCTGGAGGGATGCACTGCTCACTGGGAGGGAGGGAGGGGTCCCACAGCTGCACTCGCCAAGTGCCTTGGGCTCCTGCTGCAGGCTGGGGAGTGGAGGAGCTGCCCCTGCGTGACCCGTGTGCCTGCTGTTGTTTGCAGTATCCCAGCACAGACTGTTCAATGAGCATCTGGTGTCTGCGAGCAGCAACCCGGCTCTGGCCATGAGGAGGAAGAAGCACACAGAGAAGGAGGTGCATGCAGACCTCGTGAGCATAGTCTCTGTCCGGCTGCGTGAGGGCTACAGCATCCGTGAGGTCAACATCACCAAAGGTGATCTGCCTGCGCCATGCTGCTCTATGACTTGGGGCTCCATTCCCGGTTACACAGACTTAAGTGCAGGCTTGCCATAGTCTGGCCAGCCTCGGTGGGGTGAGGACAGGAAGCCATGGTCTTGGGGAAGGAGTTTGTTCTCCATGGCACATGCACAGGATTGCCCTGTGCGGTTGCATGGTGCTTGTGTGCCGGCTAGGCAAATCCTGTCTCACAGTATGGAGATACCAACAGTTCAGAGGTGGGGAGCAGCTACAGGGTAAGGGGGTGCCCCATAGGCGACAGCGGTGCAAGGTCTGATATGGGCGCAAGTACTGAACCACGGCTGCAGACTAGGAAGGTGCAAATAGCAGCACTTTATGCAAAGAGAGTGGCTGCCAGCAAGTAGCACTGTATTTACATTAGCCCAGTGGTTCCCAAACTTTAACCACCTGTGAACCCCTTTCACTAAAATGTCAAGTCTCGTGAACCCCCTCCTAAAAATTAATATTTCCAGGGATTTTCTCGTTTACCTGAGTATAAATTATAAAAGCAGTGATCTTGGAAATATAAAATTTGTTTTTATGACATGCTTATTACACACTAATTATTATTAAGTGTCCCTGGCCTCTGTTGCCAGAAGCTGGGAATGAGCGAAAGGGGATGGATCACTTGATGATTACCTGTTCTGTTCATTCCCTCTGGGGCACCTGGCACTGGCCACTGTCGGAAGACAGGATACTGGGCTAGATGGACCCTTGGTCTGACCCAGTAGGGCCATTCTTATGTTCTTATTTATCATTACAGTATTTTTATTACATTATGAAAATGGCAACACTCTTCCAAGATCTCACTTTCGTAGCTTGTATCACTTGGAATAAGTCGGTTATAAGACAAGGCTCCTATGTTTCATCAAAGAGTATCAGATGTGAAACAGCATGAAGGTATTTAAGAAGCCAACTCAAAGAGTTCCTCCTACACAAGCATTCAGGTCTTGAGCAGTCCAGACAAACAACGCACGTTACAACAAAGCTTAAACTTATTCATCATAATAATTTTAAAAACAATACTAGCTGCCTATTTAATTTTAAAAACAGCAAAAAATATCCCCCTCCCTTTCCATTTCTTATAAGGAGTCTTGAAGTTCAAATCTCCTCAGTGTGATAGATATGCTTGCTTTGATCCTCTTAGCTCTTGGAAGTCCAGGGGCTTCAGGCTGCTGGCCCCATGCTGCCCGGGGTCCCTAGGGACAGCTCTGTCCGCAATTAGGGAATTCTTTTCCGAGAACATTTCGTGAACCCCCAGGGGTTCTCGAACCCCAGTTTGGGAACCACTGCATTAGCCTAAGCCTTCTGCATTCCTGCCAGCACAGCAGTGGCTGCAGCAGAACCAGGTGAGTGGCTGCAGAAATGATAGCATGGGCAGGATCTCAGTAGCACCATAAATGTACCTGGTCCTTCCTAGACAGTGAGAGAGAGAGAGAAAATGGAAATCTTACTTTAGTGAAGCCATGTAAAGAAAAATAAATTCCAGCAGGAGAAATGTACGGAGTAAACTAGGGTGAGAACAGGACTTTTGAAGAGCAAACTTCCAAACACAAATAGCAAGAAATCATTTGCATATGCAGAGACAGGACGCCTGCAGGAGAATCAGTGTGTCTGCTTGCCTAGCTGGGAGACAAGGGAGCAGTTGAGAAGGATAAGGCCATAGCAGAAAAGTTTAATTAGTTCTTTGCAAGAGTCTTCAGCTCAGAGGATATTGGGGAGATACCTGCTCTTCTCGGATAGTAAAGATGAAGCACTGTCAGGGACTGAAGTGTCAAAAGTAGAGTTGCTGGAACAAATAGAGTGACAAGTCACCTGGGCCAGATGGTGTGCTGAAAGAGCTTCGGAATGAAGTATATGAGCTAACAAAAAATTGCAGTCTGTTGTTTAAAATCTACACCTATGCCGGAGGCTCAGAGGGCAGCAAGTGTTGTATCTGCATCCTGTAGGATGTTCCTGGGAATTCTGGCATGTAAACTAGCACTGTGTACATTAGTTGAAACAACAGTTTTTAAAATAGAATTATAAAATGGTTGGAAAATTGGACATGATGGTGTAATCAGCACAGCCTCTGCAAAGGAGAAGCATGCCTCACTATTAGGCAGCAGCAGAATGGAGCTGACCAGACTCTCTCTTCTTGGTGTCACTGCTGTGGGTGTGGTTCTGGGCAGCTGCTGACCAGAGTCTGGTTAATGTCACTCTTGCTCTGGGTAGTTCTGTGCAGAGGAAGCTGAGGCTGGCTGCAGACTCAGGCAGGCAGCACTGCATCAGGTCTGGTTGGGATGATTGGCTTCTGACCAGTGACTTACCTCCTTTGATGGCTTAGCATCTCCAGCCACTCACCGAGGAAAGGTTTGATAAGCCCTGCTAGCTGTGCAGCACTGGGGACCTAGTGGGGGAGCGAGTGAATGAGTCGGCAGTGCGATGACCTGTTTGTTTGGGTTGCGTCCATAGGCTAGCATGTGGGATGGGTGTTCTGCTCCCTTGGCCCGGCTAGGTCCTCCCTGGGCGCTGCCATCACTCTGCCAGTGAGGGAATGGAGCGCTTGGAGCAGACCCCAAAGAGCCGAAGGATTTTGGACAACAGCCCGTGGGGCAGGCTGGCTTGTTCACTTTGGGGCAGGCATGTCTGGGGAGAGATGGGACCAGTGTGACATGAAGGCTGTCAGGCCTCAGGGAACTCCAGCTGGTACCGAGTGCTGCAGTATCCCGTACTCGTGAGCAAACCACATCTGTCCTACGCTCTGCATTGGCTTCCTATAGACTGCTGAGTTAGGGGCAGGGTCTTGGCCCTAGTGTGCATAGTGCTCCATGGCCTAAGCCCAGCACGTCTGAGAGCCTGAAGCTCCAGGATGAAGCCTCTGGCTGACCGCTCTGCTCCTCCGGCACCATGGAGCTTCCTTCACAAGGGAAAAGCTCGTTTGTGCAGGAGACAGAGCTCTGCTTTTCCAGTCTGAGCCTGCCTGAGGAACTGGTCTCTCATTCCAAAGGCCAGGTGCGTGTCTGTGACACGCACACAGCAGTGTGTGCATTTCAAAACAGCTCCCCAGCAAAACGCTGTATTGCACAAACACCTCTCTCCCTGGGGGCGCGCGCACGAGAATGAACCACACGTCCCCTCACTCAGTGTGTGATTGGAATGTGATCGGGGGTTAGGATGACACCTGTACAGGACAGAGTAGCCTCTGCCAGTTCAGAGTGGTATTTGAGTGGGCCTGGGCCCACTTGTTCTCCCATGCTGTGGGGCGCAGAACAGGCAGCAGTGGTCGAAGGGAAAGGCCAGGGTAAGTAGGAGGGGGCTCGTTTAGCTGGATGCCAGAACAAGCTGCCAGGGGGTGTTGTGGAGCTCCCATTGCTGGGGAGTCAGAGCAGAGCCTGGGTGCATTGTGCTTAGGGCAGGTTGGGGGTGCTGAGTTCGGCCCTGACCCCATGGAGGAGAGGGACCATCCCACCCAAAGGATTCCGGGAATCCTCTTACCTGTTCAGGGGCCCCATGTCAGTTGAATCTTGTATCTGGGGGCAAGAGGTGGTGCTGCTGGGTCATGGCCTGGGTGGTGAGCTTGATCGCAGCCCCTCACGGCCCTGTTCTCATCCCACGCAGGCGGCTCCCAGCTGGAAGTGAAACTGGTCTTGCTGTGGAAGCACAACATGCGGATAGAATACCTGGCTGTGGCGGCATGGCCCCTGGACCCCTCCAAGCGCAGTACCTGGGTGGAGGTGACAATGGAGGGCAGCTATGACATCCTGCATGATATCAGCTGCACCATGAGGAAGCCTATCACCAGCCTGTACCGCACTACAGTGATCCGTCGCTTCTGGAACACACTGCAGAGGTGAGCCTGGCCGTTCCCTGCAGCTCTCGTAGTCTGACCCCAGCACCTGCTGGCTCCAGGATGCCTCTGCACCCCCTTTCCCTGCTCACCTGGGCCCCCCAGTGGGGGTGGCCTGAAGAGGAACACCGATTGGGAAGAGGGACTTGAACGGACTTGTGTCCTAGGCAGTAGGATTCCCAGAGCCGACGGTGCTGCATTCCCTGGGCCCTGCTCTGTTTGCTGTCATTAACCAGACCCCAGGCATTGGGAGGGGCTGGGCAGTGAGCAGGGGATGTGTGCCCCTGGCACCACCCTGCAATGCTGCCTTGCTCTGAAGGTCAGAGCTGTGGGTGATTCTCTCTCAGGTAGGTGGGGTGTGTTGCTGATCCCGGATGACTTGTGTCACTCCCCAGTGTTCCCAAGCTCTGCAGAGGCTGGGGCATCTACCCCTGTTCTGCGCAGTTGTTCCCTGCCTGCTGTACCTTGAGGGAAGGACTCGGCCGAACCCTTTCCTAACTCCTCTTGCTGTTGCTGAGCTCTCTCGCCTGGGGGGTGGGCTGCTGCATCCGGCTCCCTCTAGTGTGCCCTTTGCCAGGCCTGGGGGAATCCTGCTTCCCCCAAGGACATGCCCCCAGCTGGCCTTGCAGTGCCACATGTGCAGGCAGCACAGCTCTGAATGGTCGATCGGCTGGGAGCGCCCCAGAGACTTAACGATGGCTTTTGTCTTGCAGCATCAACCAGACAGATCAGATGCTGGTTCACCTGCAGTCTTTTGACACCGTTCCAGAGCATTTCACCATCCCTGAGAGCACTAAGAATGGAGTGCCGCTTTTCTACATCCCACCGGGCTCCACCACCCCGGTACGCCGCCTCCCCTTTCCTGAGAGCCCTGGGAACAGGTGCCCTTCTGTTCTGTATCCTTGTGTCAGAGGGCTGATCCGTGCAGGTGGCTGCCATGGTAGCTGTGACTCACAGGAACGGCCCGTAGGCTGTTCTCCTTGCTAACAGTTGCACTGCTCCACTTCCGCATGATGCTGTGTGAACCGGCACTTCTCTGATGTCCTTTCCCGAACATTATGCACTCCATGGCACCAGCTTAGGGTGTCTGCTCCAGCAGCTGCTCCTGGAAAGCCCCTGGGGTGAATAGCAGGCTGCCCATTCTAGGCAACGTGCAGAGTGTTCTCCAGCGAGCGTGTGGTGTGTACGCCAGGTGCACTCCAGCTAGAGAGGGCAGGAGTGCCGCAGGCTCAGCCTGCCTCGGTGCGTCTGGGATGCCTTCCCATCGGTGAGGAAGCCCATACTGGCTGTCCAGCTGCATTGCTCAGTTATGTTGCTGAAAGCATTCATTCTCCCCAGAGACAATGTAATGCTCTTCAGCCAGCCTGCTAGGCTCAGACTCCGGGGAGGCCTGGACCTTCTCCGTGGGGAAACCAACAGCTTGCGGCTGAGCTCTTTCTCTCTGTCTCTCAGGTGCTGTCCCTGCAGCACAGCGGCTCTGACTGCAGCCATTCACAGTTTGCCTCCTACTGGAAGCCCATCCTCTCCATGGATGCTAATTTCTGGCAGAGGTGGCTGCATATGCATCGGATTGTCCTCATGCTGGAGCATGACACGTACGTCTGTGGTGGGGCTAGGGCAGCGTGACCTGGACACGTCGCTGTGGGTAGGAAAGCAGCCCTAGGGACAGCGGGAGCCTGGCTATGCAGCCAGAGCCTGCGGGCGCTGCCTCGCTGACAGAAGGGGGCTATGCAGGATTACTCTGGGCACAGGAGGGCCCTGGGAAGGTGTCTGCTAGCTACACAGCACAGGCAGTAGCAGGCTGGGCTCTCAGGCATGGGAAGGCCCATTAGCCTGAGGAGACCATGCTGTTTGTGCATTAACCCTCTGCAGGCTGGGAAGGCATCCTGGCTGGAGGGGGAGGGGAGAAGAGAGGCAGCTCCTGAGAGTGTTGGGTGCCCTCAGGGTTTGTCTCTGCCAGATCTCCTGTGGGCCTCCCAGCTGGAATTTCACCCTGTGGCTCAGTAGGCCTCCCTGCAGGGTGGAGAAGCTCAGGGTGTGTCTACACTACAAAATTATGTCAACCTAAGTTACGTGGATGTACAGCGCCGCATGTCCACACTGTGCTCCGTGTGTCAGTGGTGCGTGTCCTCCCCAGGAGCACTCGCACCGATTGTACGGTCGATGTGGGGCACTGTGGGACGGCTCCTGAAAGGCAGCCACACTTGATGTAAGCAACGCAGTGTCTATGCTGATGCTGGGTCGACCTAACTACAGTGACCTAAGCCTCTCGCAGAGGTGGAGTTAAGTCCTGTAGTGGGCGAGTTACGTCGGCGGGAGCATTTTAGTGTAGATGCTCACAGAGTTAGGGCAGCATAAGCTGCCTTACGTCAACCTAACTCTAGTGTAGCCCAGGACTCAGTATAGAGGGGCTGTGGCCTCTTCCAGGGGGATCAAAGGACAGGTACAGCCTGTTGTGTCCTGCTGAGAAGGGGGCTGCCAATTGTTCACAATGGCCCTCATTTCCGTAAAACACGGCTGGAGTCTGCTCTGATTCCTGCCTCAGGCAGAGCCCAGGGCCTGGAACCTCTGGAGAGCCGGAGCTTCCCGGCGCGGGGCCAGTTTGGAGTCTGTCTCTGCATGTCCCGAAATTATGGCAGGTGTCTGCAAAGCTCCATTGGCTCAGATTGACACAGTGGCCTGCTGCCCACCCTGACATCATCTGAAGCCAAGGAAGGGAGGGTGCCCTGTTAGCAGGGGGGCTCATCCCAGCCAAGGATCAGTGTGGCTAATCCCCAGCCCTGATCAAAGGCTTACCCCATAGGTCCCTGGGAAGCAGGTAGGTAATGCCCCCTCCGTTGTACAGAGGGGGAAGTAGCAGATCAGCTTAGGGGGAGAGCAGGGTTCCTGTGACAGCGGAACAGTGGAACTCCCTGCAGATGTGGCAGAGCCAGACAGCACAGCAGGAGAGGCGTTAGTGGCAGCCTGTGGGTGTGGGTCGGGGAGGAGCAGGTTGATCCTGCCCAAGCTAGTGAGGGAGGGTGAATGGGCCAGGGGCTCTGCAGGGGCCCTTCCTGGGCCATGGTGGGAGCAGACAGGAGGGCTGGGCTAGTGACGCACTGGTGTGTTTCACAGACCCGTCCCAAAGCACCTGCACACACCAGGCAACAATGGCCGGTACAGCACCATCCAGTGCCGCATCTCCCACTCGGCACTCACCTCCCTGCTGCGGGACTGGAGCAGCTTTGTGCTAGTGGAAGGCTACTCCTACGTCAAACTGATGCCCAGGTGAGAGGCTCCGTGTACACAGGGTGCTGCTTCTGCTGTGCTCCATAGAGAGCCTGGCGGGCAGGGGAGGAGTCAGGGTTCCTTTCGCGCACTAACACCATGGCTCATGGGCTGTTGGAACTGCCATTCAGGTGTGCCCCATTCCCCTCCCTTCCGTGCGCTGCTAGAGCCCTCTTCCCCTCTGTCTGCTCCTGGCCCCCTTTCTGCCCCATCTGCCAGGGCCAGCCCCTGCTAACCTGAGCGCAGCCCCTCCTCTTGCCAGAAAGCCTTCCAGCTGTAACCCCCATGGCAGTACTCTGTCCTCTCTCATTGGGACCCTGGAGTGCATCTGACTCAGCAGCTCTCTGCATGCCCCTCGTGCTGTGAAATGAAAATAGTACAGGCTGATCCCTGCTAGCAGGGCCCGTTCGGCTCCACCTGGCTGACCCCAGCGCTGGTTGACTCCAAACCCAGCTTGCAGCTCGCCCATAGCAGGGAACTCTCTGACCTCGCAGCTGGGGAAGGAGCATCCACTCTGCATCGGGCCCCAGAGCAGCTAGAGCTCTGCCGCCAAGGCCATGCCGCCCGGTTAGACCATTCTCCCTGCTACCCAGTCAGTGACTAACTCCTCTTCCAGCTCTGAGGATCCAGCTCCTTCCTCATTCTATGTGGTACGGATCATCTCCAAAGCTCCCTGCATGGTTCTCCGGCTAGGGTTCCCCATCGGGACTCCTGCCCAGGCCAGGAACCAGGTGAGTCTGAGGGAGAATGCTTTGGGGGCAGTGGGAACAGAGTGAGCTGCCTGGGAGGCGTGGGGGGGCTGGCATGGAGAAGAAGCAGGTGGATGTATTTACAGAGCTGACACCTTGACCAGGCAGCTGTTTGGGATTTGGGACAAAGGAATTTAAAATGTAGCTGCTGTAGCAGAGATTTGGAAGGTGGCAAGATACTGCACCTGTATTTTAAAGAGGCTCCAAGGGTGATCCAGGGAATTGCAGACTAGTAAGCCTCACATCTGTGCCCGGTAAACAGGTCAAAATGATGATTAAAAATAATAAAATAAAACATCTGAAGATTATATGATTTGATCTAACCAGCTTGGTTTGTGCAGAGGAAAACCATGACTCACTGAGCTATTAGAATTCTTTGAGCATTAGTAAAGTAGTGGCTAGAAGAGAAAACTAGTTAACATAATTTAGATTTTGACAAAGTCCCAGGCAGGAGGCTACTAAGAAGCTAAGATGTCATGGGCTGAGAGGCAAAGTGAGGGATCAGGATCTGTGAAGGAGACCGGAAACAGTAGGATTAAATGTTCAGTTTTCATCCTGGTGCCCGCAGGATCTGTACTAGGTCCTGTGTCCTTTAATGGTCTGGAAAGGGAAAGGAGGCAGAGAAAAGTGAAACTCCCTGCAGATATGGCAGACCAGACAGCGCAGCAGGTGACTTCATAAAGGTCTCTGAAAGGAGTGGACTAAAGAAAGGCAGTTGGGAGCGTTGTTCTGTCTCCTAACACAAGAATAAGGCACATTCAATGAGGTTGAAAAGTGGCAAATTAAAAACATAAAAGGAAATTTGACTCTGGAAGTCACAGGAAGTTGCTGAGGCGAGAACTTAACAAGATTCAAAGAGGGGTAGGGCCTTTACGTGGGTACAGAATACCCTAAAAAACCTTGCACTTTGGGGCTTAACCCAACCTGTAACTACTAGAAATCAGGAAGAGACCATTATGGGGGCAGATTATCCCCCACGTGCGACAGCAGGGTTTTTGCACCTTTGTCTGCAGCCGTTGGAGCCAGGACACGGAGCTAGGCAGAGCTGTGGTCTGGACCCATCTGGCAGTGCCTGTGTAATGGCATTCTTGCAGACCCAGAATGGGGCAAGAGTAGGGAGTGGTTTCCCTGGTGCCTCTCTCCACAGAGCAGAGCTGTTTGTTGATCAGGAGTGGGGAAGGGGTGGTTAATTCATAGTGTTTAAGGCCAGAAGGGACCATTGTGATGATCTAGTCTGACCTGCTGTGTGACACAGACCATTACACTTCACCCAGCTACCCCTGTGCTGAGCCAATAACTTGTTTGGCTAAATCATTTCTTCAGAAAGGCCTCCAGCTGGAGAGTCCATCTCCTCCCTCGGCAGACTGTTACAGGGGTTAGTCACCCTCACGGATTGAAAAACAATTCTGCCTTATTTGTCTGGCTTCAGCCACCAGCTTTTGGTGGTTCCTGTCCCAAGTTAAAGAGCCCTTTGGTACCGGGTGTCTCCTCCCCTGGGAAGTACTTGTCACTGCAATCCAGCCACCTTGCAGTCTTCTCTCTGATAGCTGAATAGTGTGAGCTCTGTAAGCCTGTCACTATAAAGCATGTTCTCCAGCCCTCAGAGCAGTTTTGTGGCTCTTTTCTGCCCCCTCTCCAATCTTCAATGTCCATTTAAAAATGTGGACCCAGAACGGGATTCTGTATTCCAGTATCAGCCTCACCAATTTCACATACAGAAGTAAAATCACCCCACTGTTCACTGCTCCTCTGTCTGTACATCCCAGGATCACATTCACCCTCTTTGCCAAGGCACTGCTCTAGCAGCTCACGTCGAGTTGCTTGTCTCTACAGCAGGCAGCATGGACGTAGCTAAGCCCAAGTCCGCAGGACTCAGACTTGTAGACTTGATGTTTCCAAGCCCTGCTTGAGCATCCATGCTTCACTGTAAATCTGGGTTTGCACTGGCTGGGCCTGGCTCCCTCAGATGGGCTAACACGTCCACACCATGCTGCGCAGCCCTTCGGATTGTGGCTGGACCTGCAGCCATGCTGCAAAACGAGAGGGCTTCAGCCTGAGCTGTGGCTGACTCAGGATCTGACCCTCTCCCCTAGCAGGGTCCTAGGCCCCAGGCTCTGAGTGCCCGCCGACCCGGGTCAGACTGATCTCTTCGTGGATGGAAGGGGGGCTTGGGCTCAAATCTCAGTCGGGATCTGGGTGTAGTGTGCAATGCAGACACCCTGTGATCCCTAAATAGAGCTGCTCAGGCTTCCTTTTACCTCTGTCCTGCAGATAGTGGAGGAGTTACAGGACCGGATCCTGCAGCTGCGCTTCCCCCACAGGGTCCAGAGCAAAGAGGCGACTCCCAAAGTGAAGAGGAAAACTTTTGGCAGCAGCTCTCCCTCGAAGTCCCCGCCCGTGGCTGGGGCCCCGCCAGCCCTCTCAGACAGGCCCTGCCTTGTAGTGCTGCACAAGCCGCTGGAGAAGCTCCTGATCAGGTAGTGGCGGTGGGCTAGTGGGGCAGAGGGGCAACAGGCTGCCGGGGGTCATCTTGCTTAGTAGTCGGGGTGGGGAGGGGAACCGCAGTCTGGGTTTGCCCTGTGCCCGAGGAGGGGCCCGTGGAAGGCTGGTGCTGCTGGCGGCGGGGGAGCCTGTGCCCTTGGGTGGGTTCCGCGGGCACGTTCTCTGACAGAGCTGTGGCTGTGACTCTCAGGGCTTGCGGTCAGCGCTGTGCTGAGAATCCGAACCTGGCTAGAGCGAAGGGAGGGGGAGAGAGGATCACTGGCCCCAGAGAGGGGACTGAAGTGGAGCAGATCCCAGCCTTCCTGCTGCCGCCCCTGTGGTGTTAGAGCCAGGATCAAGCCAGCCGTCCAGAAGTGCAGGCCTTGTCTGGGGACCCTTCCCTCTCGGCTGGTCGTTCTCCCTTCTGCCCTCCTAGGTATGAGAAGCTGCCTTCCGACTACCGGGCTCCCTTCATCCTCACCCTGGAGCACCCCCCTGTGTCCGGCCCCCTCACCATGGTGGCCAACCGCACCGCCTCCTCCACCCTGGCTTCGCTCTCCCGCTACTTCTATCACCAGCGCTGGATCTGGTGCATCCAGTCGGGGCTGGCCCCAGCCGTGCCCATCGCAGCCGTAGCCCATCTCCTGTCCACGCTCACCGAGTAAGTGTCACGGCTGAGGGGGGCAGGGAGCTGGCGGGCGGGGAGCTGCCCTTTCCGAAGGTGCAGACCCCAGGGCAGGGCCGGATGGTTTGAGGCTGGGTTGGGGTCCCATAACCCATCTCAGCACGGCTCGGATTCTGGGTCTGGGGGGTTTGCCCAGTCCTGCTGCCCCCCGCTAAGGGCGAGTGGGTTTCCTGACGTGAGGGCGCAGGAGGCGTCTCCTGGAGCACGGCACCATGGCCTGGCCTCTGCTTCTGTCTGGGCTGTGTCTGTAATGTGCCAAGCTACTCCCGGTGTGTCGGGGCTGGCTCGGATCCAGTCCCTGTGGGGGGGCCCTGAGGAGTTCCTGTGGCTGAGGGGCTCCTCTCGGGGGAGGGGGAGCGGAGGAGTTGCTCATCTCCCAGTGTTTTTCTCTGGTGCTGCCCAGGGTCCGTTTGTCAGAGGGCTTCCATTTTGCATCCAGTGGAGACGGAATTATCAATATGGTGCTGGAGCTGCCCATACGGGTGAGTCCTGTCCCTGCCCCACCCAGCCCCTCCAGGGGGACATGCTCTCTGAGACCCCATGGGAACGAGCGTGGGGAGACCCACTCACTTCCCTGGGGCTCAGCGGCTCCTGTCTCCTCCCCAGCCCTGGGGCTGAAGGGTCCCATGGAGCACTGGGGGGTTCTCTGCTGTAAAGGCGTAGGCTCCCTCTCCACTTCCCTGCCACAGGGAGGGGACTTGGGGGTGGGGTGTGTTGGGGGAGGTGTGGGGGTTGGGGGAGGGGGAATTTGAAGGTGGGCTGTGTTGGAGGAGGTGTGTGGATGTGGGGTGGGCTGTGTTGGGGGAGGTGTGGGGATGGGGGCAGAGGGGTGTGGTGGGCTGTGTCACATGGGATTTGGGGGTATGGGGGTGGGCTGATGCAGGGGCATGGGGAAGTGGGTCAGAGGGATTTGGGGATCTGGGGGAGCGGCGACAGGAGACGGATTTGGCAGTGGGCTGTGTTTTGGCGGCATAGTGACTGGCCTGAGGGGTTGGGTGGAGGCAGGGGGTAGGGACGCATTGGTGCTGTTGTTGCTGGTCCAGCGGTGGGCTGTGTTTCGGGGGCACAGTGACGGGGCAGAGGGGTTGGGTGGAGGCAGGGGGTAGGCACGCATTGGTGCCGTTGTTGCCAGTCGGGCTCATGCAGCGTCTTGGCCACAGAGTGACTCCTCCAGTGACGACAGCAGCGGCAGAGAGAAGCACACTTGCGTCGTCCAGTATGTCCTCTTCCCGCCACATTCCACCTCCACCAAGGACAGGTGAGGTCAGGGATCAGCCTCCCAGGTAGCACTGAGAGCCAGCCCCTCTGGCTCCTGGCCTCGGGCCTGTCAGGCAGTGTGTGGGGATGGGGAGGGCTCGTACCTAGCGCACCCTTGGCAGCTGTTGGGCTGTGACTGCTTGGAGCTGCAGTGCCCTTGTGCCTCGCTGGGCATGTCCTGCTGTGGGGGCGGGCTAGCCATTGATGCCGGCTCTCGGGGGGCGGGTGGTGCTGCCCTGGGGGGTGTCTGGAGCCCGTGCAGCACGGTGGAGAGGCCTGAGCAAACACCTGGATGTGCAGGATGCTCACCCCACCTACGCTGTTCTCCAGCTTCTCTACAGATGATGACAATGACACAGAGGTGGAGGCCATCGAAATGGACACCGAGCTGAACCTGGTCACTGAGTGCTGGGTGGAACCACAGAGTGGCCACATCCGCAGCACTGCTGAGAACTGGAGGTATCTCCAAGGGCTGCCCTACCAGAAGATCCCCAAAGCTGTGAGTCTCCAAGGGTTGGTGAGCCCAGTGACGTGCTGGGCCCCCATTGTCCAGGCCCCGTGCAAATACAGACCAAAATTTTCTAAGCGTGGGACATTAGATGGGTCGGACAGATGGCAAAGTGCAGGGAAACAGTGGGACAGTATCCCTCAGCAGGACGGGCAGAGGTCTCAGCACCCCTGCGGCCTTGCCGTTGTCAGGTCTTTTCTGGGCATCATGGCCAAGGAGACCTGGGGAGGTTAAAGCTATCTGGTGGTCCTTTTTCAAAGCTCTCCTTTGCTGTGATACCCACAGAACTATGACAACCGGCTGCTGGTGCGCTGAACCCACTGCCCATCATGGTGACAAATAGGGTTTCGCTGTCTCTGTGTGCTCCCCTGTCTGCCTGTACCCATCTCTCTTGTCTTATGCTCAGACTGGAAGCTTTCTGGCACAGGGGCTGTCTTTGTTCTATCTGTGCACCGCTTAGCACAGCCCATGACTACGGCTCCTAGGCGTGAGGATAAATCATTAAGGGAGATTTGAAGGAGGGTAGTGAGGCAGCTTTGCAGATGTTTATGGGATGCTCCTCCCAAGGGTGAGGGGCAGCATGGGAGAAAGGCACAACGGTGTTTGTTTGAACGTATGCCAAGTGGGTGAGGGAGGCTGGCCTCATGGGATGGTGAGAGGCAGGAGTGAACACCACAGTCATGAACGAGAGAGAGAAAGTGAAAGCAAGTCGCTTACATTTGATGCAGTAGAGCAAGGGGAGCCGGTGAAGGGTTGCAACGAAAGGAGTTTGGTCAAAGCAACGGGGTAAGAAAATGATCTCTACAGCAGCACTGGCTGCATTTGTCATGGCCAGGAGGAGAATGTTGCCGCGATTGAGATGTGGAGTGATTAGCACCTGGATGAGTGCTTTAGCTATGTGCGGGTCTAGGAAAGGCCCTATTTTACAGATGCTGTGGAGAAAGAATTGGAGAGACAGATAGCCGGATGTGAGGATCTAAAGAGAGTCTTAGTCAAAGGTGATGCCCAGGTTACACGCTCGAGTGACAGGCAGGATGGTGGTGGTGTACACAGTGACTGAGAAAGGAGGTGCAGAGCTCTGGACACCGCAGCTTGGGGCCGCCACTGGAGGGGGACCCTGGAGCTCCCAGCTCTCCTACACCTGCCC